TCACAGTCATACAAAAAAAAGCACATGAACATACATTTATTACAAATATCACAATCCAGGAAACAGCAATTTCTCAATAAATCACATCTTTGGGAACTTCAGGGCAAAAGTCCTTTATAGATGTTTTAAATACAGCTCACAACTTATTCTTTACAATCATGACGTTCATCTCCAACCATGGGGACAACCATATCATTTCTTTCACTTGCATGTGTAAGGTGCTCCAGGAAATACAAGGTGGCAAACAGGGAACAGAGCAGTCATTTGTTATACTGAGAGATGCATGTTATCTTAAATAAACCATTCCAGTATAGTCTCAATGATTTTACAGACCTTGCTCATGCAATTTGGTTGAGTAGAAACTCTTTTATAAACAATTTGACTTAAATAAATTTGAACGTATTCAGTGTGTTTAATTTGAAATGTCATTCAATTTTCTTTTTAATCATACAAACTGATATTTCATTAAATCGCAGTCTCACGATCATCTTGTCACCCGCTTCCAAAAATAAATCTCCTTCGGTCAACCCAGAGATGCTTCAAGTAAAGGATAGACAGAAAGACAGGTGGAAAACACATGATTGAAGACACAGGGAGAAAGATGGGGAGAAGAAGAGAGCAGAGAGCAGTGCAGTGTTATGTTAAGGACAGAGGGAAACCAGGTTTCACAGTCTGAACCTGGTTTTCCTGGAAGATAAACCTCAAGTCTGAAAATTGTTTTGATGAGATCAACCCTGTGAGAAATCTCACAAAGAGTGCTGTGATTTGAAGCAAATGAAATAAACACATTTTTTCTGTACTGAACTGTAAAAGGTCATGTCACTGTTTCTTTGCAAATTCATTTCAAGTGTGACCCCGTCTTAAGACTGACCCTGGGGTGATTAGTAAACTGATAAAGAGTAATGACAATTCACATTTTTTTAGAAGATTTACTGATCAGGTGATGAAAAAATGTCAATCAACAAGATTTGCTGCACTTTTCAGCCAAGTTTCTACATCAGTGTTCAGCTCACCATCATTTACAATACAAAATTAAATCACATCTTGTGGATTGAAAACAACGTCTTCATACAGACGCATGTGTTTGTGATCACAAACTAAAATTAAGACTTTGTAATACTGCTGCAACCAAGCAATCCATGAAAAATTCAGAGGTGGGTGGTGGAAGTTCACAGAAGCAGACTTCCCTCACACTGGCTCCTCAAATATTAAAATTGGGGGAAAAAACATTTCCTTTACAGATCAACTCTCTGTAAATCTGAATCCCTGTGTATTTATTTTCTTGTGGTTGCAACATACATATGTAAAGATCAACATCTGAGCAAAGACTACAGCACAAGAAGCAGCAGGGTCAGCCATGCTGAAAATCAGTTAGTCCTAATACAGATTCAAGTATGTATTTTTTTTACTGTTTGTAAAACAAGAAATATGTAATTTCATTTATCTCTTGTTTCACAACTGATTTGATTTTTACCATCTTTTGTAAATAAATTCAAATCAGAAAACTGCACTCTAGGAACAATCCTGCAAATTTGAAGTTCTCTTACACAAAGAGTCAATTCTAGAATATATTTCTGATGGCAAACACCCTCCACCGGGCGATCGATCAGTACAGACAGTGAAGCAGATTAAAAGGAGAGGTTTTGGTACAACCTTGAGAAAAGAGAATGAAGATGCTACCTCAAGAACAACACAATTTGAATATCTATAACAAAAAACATTACATGTGTGATACATCTCGGATTTATCTGTACCTTAGGTTTAATACTGTACTGCAGGCTGCATTCTTTCCAGCTAACCAGCCCTTTCAGATTTGCAGACGTGTGCATGGGGGTGATAGGATTAAATAGAAGTAGCCTCTGTGCTGAAAGCGCAGTGGGATCGTTGTATCTGAAAAGATGTGTGATAACTTGACGGAGGGGCTGCAGATGAGAAGCTGGTTATGTCTGTAATCTGGTAAAATAGTTTCTGCTCCTCACACTTGCTCTTTTTATATATTTTTTTAAATCTTACAAACACACAAGTTGAAGATTCTTGGCCCAGCTTCTGCAAGCATGTGTCAGAAGGATACAAAAGAGGAGATACAGGTAAATGAGGGATCCAGCTGTGGTTCGATTCCCCTCCTCTTATTTCCTCTCTTTCTTCTCTCCACCCCTCCGTCGTTGTCTCCTCTGACCAGAACTCACAGTTCTGGCGTCATCACAGAATTGTGGCACCATCCTCACAGCCCCATTTGGTGGGAGGGGATTAGAAGAGGAGGCTGTTGGGCTTGTGTGTCTCTCTTTACTGGTGGAGGGGCAGGAAGTGTGTCAGGAGACATGTGCAATGAGTCTTACTCGGGTCTGGATGTCCTGGCGGCACAAGGGGCACGTCTCTAACTGTAAGGCACACTCCATACACATACCACTGGAAGAACATGGAGGAAAAAACAATATTAGAGATCTTATTATCCATTCAGAGAAAGTGCTGGGCAGAGGAAACGTCATTATTAATGCAATAGTAATTATTGGTTCACAGATTTAATTTTATATAAATAAAACAACAATATCAAGGTAACAGATGATTTTTAAAATCAAAACAGGAAATGTTTTATTTACAAGTATTTAGTACTTTGTAGAAACAGCAGGTGGAGCTTTGAGTCTTGAATAAGTTTATCTAATTCTTCTTGACAGATCCTCTCAAAGCCAGCAGATTGGGAAGGGTGTGTCCATGAACTGTCATCCTCAGCCTCTCAAAGTCTTTTTTTTATAAATTTGCAAAAAAGTTATAAAAAACATAAATCAGATGCACACATACCCATGTCCACAGGGCCGCAGCTCCGTGTCTGCCATTACGTCACAACACAGTGTGCAGCAGTTGTCTCGGATGCTAACCTGCTTTAGTAAGGCCAGACGGCGATGTCTGGAAAACATACACACACAAAACAAATGAGTATTTCCATTTACAGACATCTATTTAAATCTGGTTTTCTTCTGTGGACTGAAATAACACTTTAGCACTGCAGATTGACATAATAATAAAGCAACATGCTACATAGAGAATGCAGTTACACTCCCTCTGTGTGTCTTGTTAGCAGAGCTTCTCTGTTCTTCATTTTCATAGCCAGTCTACTCGCACTACTCATTTCACAAGCCTTGCTAAAGGGATGCAGGCAATGTGGCCAAAGAAGCAGCTGTAGGTGTTCAACAAGTAAATTAATAGGAGAAGTGGCAGCTGCTGATGAGGAAGTATAAAAGTCTAAAGTCCTGTTCTAATGTCGAGTGATGAAAGAGCAATGAAAATGCTCTGTACACTGGAGAAACCCAAACACTGATTCATGTTTGTATCATGTCATACCTAAGAGTTTAACCCTGTGAGTAAACACATGATTCACTGGCTATAGCGAGACTGGGTAAGACTTCAGATTGCACATGACTTTCCAAAACTGTCAGTGTGTCGTCTGTTTTAGACACAGTCATAAAAATCACTGCAAGGACCAGTTTTACTTGGTACCTGGGTAGGATGATCTTTTCACTGGGCAGCAGTGAAGCAAAGTCGTTGAAGGTGCTGAACTTGACAGAGGGTGGGTGACGGAAAGGCTTGGCCCCAAAGTTAAACTCACACTGCTGGTATGACATAAAGCTGGCTGCAGCGAAGAAACCCGACCTGACAGAGACATAGGTAAAGGAAAAAAACATGGGGGTTCAGTTGCGAGAAGGAGGAATAGATCAGAGAAAAGCAAAGCAAGGAGGGAAAAGGGAAAAGAAGAAAGAGAGAGGAAGGAAGTGAAACCAGTGCTACAGAACAAAAAACAATTGGAAAAGGTAACCGAATTCCGGAGGTCACTGTGTGGACTTACGTGGCTGATGAGAAGACCTGTTTCTCTGGTGGCAGCTGATGTCCATTTAGATAAAAGATCATCTGCTTCTTGCTGAGGTCCAACAAGAAGCCAATGGCATCTCCTACACACGACACAGATGCAGTCTCAATATGCTATTCCTATTATCCCTCCATGTGGGAGGTAAACAATTGGTAATATTGTGTGTGGGCACTAAAAATCACACTCAATCATCACAATCACACTTTAGAGACACTAAAAATAAAAAAATAAGTCTCTAAGCAAATGGGTCTGACAGTTAAAGCAACACCATGCAACCTTTACAGAGCAACAGCGCCCTCTGCAGCAACACATGGTGTTTAATTCTGTTTCCAGGCGATTAAGTGGTTTTCATGTTGAGAAGAAAAGCCTATCAATGTGTTCAGTGGAGCTCTGACTGCGTACTCCCAATCACTGAACTGAAACGCGACCAAGAGGTGGATATTACCCATGATGCCCAGCTTCCTAAACCAGAAGAACTCTGTTTAGAATTCCTCATATTTTAGTTTCTTGGATGAATATTGCAGATAAACATTGTTTTTTAATGACTTGTAAGTCTTTTTAACTGACCTACAGTTGAGGCACTTCTCTTCAAATTGTTGAACCTGATTCTGACAATTGAAGTTGCAACTATCAGTCAGTTTCACACTATTGACAGAAGATCGTACCCACTCACCAAAGTTTCATAGAGCAAGAACAGATATTCAGGAAGAGAAGTGGGAATGAAAGAGGAAACATTCTCCATACTCCAACCATCAAACTCATTTTGAAGCTGCTGTTTTAAGGTTAAAAAAGTGTGTGGAGTATACCCTCTTTCCAGCAGGGGTGAGAGTGAGGTTTACTGCGAGCGTTGTACCAGATGAGCTGCCTGCAGCCATCGTACGCACATGAGTATTCATCATCTCCAATTCCGTATCCCTCCTGTGGTGCACACAAATATACAGAATACTTAAGTTAGTGTCTGCAGAGAACAAACATATAGAAAGATTCAACATTAAAAACACAGACGAGGATTACATGGTTGAGGAACTTGCTGTCCTTGGTGGCCCATCCAATTTGCATCACGCCTGATGTAATGACTGTAACCTCATAGTACCACACGCCTGAATCCACGCAAAACGTACAACGTACGCTCTCAAAGGACGAGGCGTCACATCGAGCCTGATGGTGGGAACCAGAAAAAGATGAAAATTAGTTATTCAGAAAACATTTATATTTGGGCATTGAGTGAAACGAGTAAAATATCAGCAAATCTATTGATTACTTCTAACAATAGCCACATTTATTCTAATTGTGGTAATTGTAGAGAGGAGACTTCAAACAGACGAACCTCTAGTCCAGAGGGAGAAATCTTGAGGTACTCGCTGACGTCATTGCTGTTCAGCATGGCGTTGATATTAGTGAGGTTGACCTTCTCATAGGTGAACTGACGACCATCCTTAAGAACTAGACAAACAACAAGTGACCAAATATTTTCACATTTCTTTCTCACATATACCTGATGATATCTGACATGTATATATCTCATTTTGCACCTTATAATGTTTTATTATTTTATTATAATGTTTTATTTTATTTTTTTGCACCTTATAATGTTTAATTTTTTGCACTAGTACTGACATTTGTACTTATTGTTTCATTTGCACTAGTGTATGTTATTGTATTTTTAGTTMCTCTTATCTTATTTTATGACACTTGCATGTTGAGTTGCTTGAGGTGCCTGGGATTTAAGATTTTCATTGCCAACATGTAGATGTATCTGTTGTGCAGATGACAATAAAAACCTCTGAACTTTGAAAGGGACAGGCCCTGTCTCTTCAGTAAACATACAGCTTTGAAAACATAGGGGCTACTCACACAAATTGTCAAGGCTCCACTGTGAACAGAATCCAACCTGCCTCTTCAAGTAGTCGGGTTGTTCTGCCCATGACTCCAGGACAGAAAGGCGATTACTGATACAAGACTCGGACACTGTCAGTTTGTTCTCACCTGAGGGCAAGAAGCAAGTGTGAGAGAATAGTGTGAGAATTGTGTGAAAAACTGACTAAACATTTAAACATTTTAACATCTAAGTCACTTTCTGTTCTATTTTGTATTGTTTGCATAGAAGTAACTCATGTTCACCTCTCTCATCATTAGTTTTTGCTTTTTGAAATGGCTTTATGATACAGTGAGTGAACTTACTGGTCTGGGAGAACTTCTCCAAAGCGATGAGAGCAAACAGCATGACAGTGGGATGGGCTTCAGAGCTCTGCAGGAAGATTTACAAAGAAAATGGACATCAGCATTTGGAATTAATTTAATTACTTTTCATGCAAACACACAACAATTACACAGCTGGTGTTAATATAACACTAACTTCTGTTGTGGAATTTACACACAAATCATCAGTTATTTTCTGTCCTTCCTTTGATTTTCTCAACAACCAACACATTCGATCACCTTAAAATCTGCCATCGGTATTTTTTTAATCAGTGACAACACAGAATTTTGCTGTGTGACCCTAGTTGTTGAGAAAATTGTAGGTTAAAGAGACAGACAGAGATTTAGCAGGATAAAGCCATGTATCGACAAGCCAGATTTGAAAAGGGCAAAAACAGTGGATTAAAATTAAGCAATCGAGTGTTAAACCTGTCCACAAAATAAGTCATAATACAGTCAGCAGACTGGGTGTGTGTATGTTTGCTCACCAGACTCTCTAGAAGATACTCAAGGGTTCCAGGGCTCAACAGTCCAATACTGGCTGGTCCTGACATAGAGAACAAAATTAGAGAGGTGAAAAAGTTAAATTTACTTCACTTCTGGTCTGTTTCTGTCCCACCCAAACAAGGAATTATGTTAAATTATTTACTTGTTTCCCAGCAAAGTAAATGTATAATTGTGTAATAATCAGAAAGCTCTGTGTATACCTTACATTATGTCCTCAGATGCTGTTTTTCAGCATTATAATGAAGTTAAAGAGAGAAACATTCTAGTGAATCATCTATCCTCAGTTTCTCTATACCTGGTTATCAGTTGGTTTGTATTTTAACCTCAGTTTACAGTATTAGCTGTTTTCCTAACTTTGAAGTCAAGCTGCTGCTTGATTTTCAAGAATATTGCTGTTCTGCATCTATTGTTTTGACATAATAAAGATTTTCTGATAAAATAAATTTACCAACAAACGACAACAAAAACAGCATCAACATTAGATCTTACTCTGGGTAATAAAATCCTACTTCTTTAACACAGGGTTAGGAATTGAGCAAAGATTAATGCAACATCCTTGTAAGTTGACTAACACACACACCTTTTGCTTTTGCAATCAGTTTCTTTTTTTTTTTTTTCAAGAGTCTACATGATCATGGTGAGCAGGTAACATAGCAAACCAGAAAGTGAAAGACCAAGAACATTGGAAAAAATAAATCGTGTTTAAGTGTGTAAAATTGGACTGTACCGGCCAGTTTCTCTGCCAGACATCCCAGGACAGCTGTGGTGTTTCTGTGTTTCGCAGGATTTAAAGCATCCTGTTGTGCTACAGCCGAACTCAGACTCAACATGTCAGAGAGTTTCTGCAAAGCATCCTAGAGAGGAGATAAAGACCAGTTACCCTACTGAGGGTCACATGCACACAGTTTCAATAAATAATAATGACAAGTTTGAGAGGATGGAGATAAAGGATCTCAAGACTTCAAAGTCAAAGCAGGAAAGTCATGTGTGGGGTAAAATACAGTAGGGAGGGGGGACACACTCAAATGTTTGTTCCACTACCCCTGTAGGGAAAACTTAATGATATAATGCATTCACTTATCCCTTATCCTAACCTGACCTATCAAAAATATTCATCCCAAAATCAAATTCCACTCTGAACATCAAAAGCTAGGACTCCAGTGGACCTAGATTTTGTCCCCATAAGTGGCACAAATACCCATGTGTTGGTGTGTGTTCAGTTTAAAGGGTTCACCAGGATACAAAAACAACCAAACACATGCTCTCTATTGCTAGCAGGGAAAGAGAGAGGTGATACTACTAAGAATGTAAATAAAAAAGCAAATAAAAATTACTTTATTAACAGGGACGAACTCTGCCACTGACACATCAGAAATTCCAATCAGCTATTATTATAAACTTGATGTTAGCTGTGTCGTCACCACAACATGAATCCTTGTTCTATAGTTGTGGGAATGAGCAGTGACAAGCTCAACCAACCATAAGTATGAGGATAAGCATCCTCCTGTGGTTGTTCATATTAAATATCGATATATATATGTGTAAAATACTAACCTTGGTGGGCAAGGGACACTCATCCAAAAGAAGGGTGATCACTGCAGGACCAAGCGGATCGTCCAATGGGATAACTCGAATCAGAGATTGGACGACCTCCAGCCAACCATCATCTGAAGGAGGAAAGAAGAAAGGTTTAATGTGAGATTCAAGTGACTGAATTCATCTAATGACTCACATAAATCCTATTATATACAAGTGTGATACATAACTCTGGCTGGCTGAATAAAGAATTATGAAAATGTTTTATTTAAACATTGTCTCAATATTTAATATTACTTATTATGGGTTCAAGTTCATTCAATAGACAAATTTATATTCATCCAGACATAGCATCTTTCAATCTCACAGTACTTAAGGGAGTAAGTCTTATAGTCATATATTCAGTATGCATTTCATTTTTTGCTATAGTTTATTATCCTTTGTTAGTAGGTTTGTCTGCAGACACTTCTATGTGATGACATTCATGCTAATGGCTAATATTCTTCCTGAACCATGAATATTTGTCCTGGTGATGTCACCAATGTGACATCACATTTTTTATTTCTCAAGCTATCCCTGCTAAATTCCACATAGTATTTTCTTTTGAGGAACAATGTTTGGTAAAACCATATGAGCATTATTGAAGAATTGATAAAACTAACATTATATATTGTATCTGTTTGCATATACAGGACAGTCATCGAAAGACAGATGCTTCTCTTCTCTGGCAGATTTCTTCATGATAAATAGCCAAATGAAACCAGATAACTCAAAGATTACTGAGCAGTGCTGAGTCAGTCTCTTGCATTATGAGCACTTGATGCAGCACAAATGGAAAAAATACCCATTTCCTGTCCATTAGGTGACTCAGTAACAAACATGATATCCTTAACCACATCACTTATGAAAGCCAAGGGGTTATAAATAATGTATCATGGTGGCAGAAAAGTGACTGTGTGGCTGACTTGACTTGCTGCTTCGCTGCCTTCAGAGTTCTGTATCTGCACTGCAAGCTAATACCCAGCTTGGTTGTCAAGCCACACAACACCACTCCATGTTGAGTGTCTAATACCATATGTGCATCACACAAGGCCCAAGCTACCACATAAGCATACACACAAACACAAACACACACACACAGCATTAGAGAATTATTGACCATATCCAAGAAAGCAAACACACACTAAACCAAAAACATATGTTCAAATACACACAAACTCAATCAAGAATCAGCCCTGTCAGTTACTGTCAGCAAAACAGAGAACAGCAACTGCAATATTCTATTAACTTTCAACAAACCAAAACTCTATTCATACAAAGTTTATACAAAGTAGTAGCCAACACATGATGTCTGCAGTCTAGGTCACGTCCCTTCCCGAGGTGATGTAATGTTCCTCTAAGCTGGGACAGTGGGTGTGATGGAGAAAAGCTGAGGCAGCAGTATTGCAGCAGGATATTAAGCAGCACAACACAGGTGATGTTGCAGCCTCTTTCCTCTGTTTCTCCAGTTAGACATGAAAAGTCTCTTTTAAACCTCATTTAAACAAACCCATCCTACTTGTGTAGGATTTATATATATATTTATATTTTGATCCTCAAAGCTGTGTCTTTTGTTAACAACAGCCTTGCTCATTGTGTGTTCTAATTTTCTTACCTGTCTCTGCCATCTCATGCAAAGTGATCATGGAGTAGGGCGGCTCTTGATCACTGAAATAAAACAGACCACAGAATATGTTAACAGTCTGGTTTAAGAGCGATTCCCTGAATGCTATATATCTCAGACTCAGCTGTGTATTTAGTGATACGTCTGTAATAAATATACTTGCACAACTTGATACCAGGGCACTGCAACTGGTCTAACTACTAAAATTCTAAGTGCATATCTATCAACATGTAAATCACAAAGGTATTTTAAAAGTCTTTGATTAGAATAACTTCATGATCACGAAGGCTGGTCTGCTTGTTATAGTCCTCTCTCAGCAGTATGAACTCATATGGTTCATATTTATTTTAGTTAGTTGAGGATTTTGGTAGAGTTCACAACAAACATTCTTCAGATACAGCATTTGAATTTAACTGTACAGATTCTTCCTCCTCCCATCACTAGACTTACTTGTCTACAAGTGTTCTGATGACAGCCAGTGTGTCCAGCACCAGACCATCCACGTTCTGCTTCTTCCGCCGTGGCTCATGTGGCCCTCGTCCTCGGCGCGGGGGCCTGACTGGATCCCTTGGCCGACTGCTCCTTGCCTCACCTGCGTCAGAACCTACACCAGTACCATGATCCGCCCGTCTAGCTTGTCCTCTGGTCACCCTCGTCGATCCGTGGTGATGGTCCTCCAAGTCACTATCCTCCCGGCAAACACAGCTGTTACCCATGGTTCCAGTGCTGGAGACCACACTGGCAAGGGTCTCCCAGAATGGGGGAAGGGAGTTTGAGGAGGAAAGGAAGAGCAGAACCTTTGCAAGGCTCCTGCAGGCACAGAAAGTGATCCAAGCTGCTACTATCATATCATCTGGAGGGCTTGCTTTAGGGGGACTCTTGCCCCAGTGGGCTCGTTGGAGTTACTGACAATGATCATAGTGTTGCCAAGCAGAGATGTAGGATTGTTTGGGGAGTATTAACGCGTGGCTAGTTACATGGACCAAGAGTCAGGGTCGGGTGATGCATTGAGATCAGCTCTGAACATCATCAGACAGATTCAGGTCCAGCTGTTGTTCTGGGCACCCACAGCTGCGGAAGCAACACAAAGAAAACAGACAAACAGTGAAACTCTGCACATGAGTTCTGATGACTTGTATATTTAACTGTCCAACAGCCGATCGTGCTCTGCAACAAGAAAAGCTCATGGACGTGAGACACACCACGTGATAAGGGTCGATTCCCAAAAGAAATAAAAAAACTGAAAAAGAAAATCAACATTAGCCACTTAGCTTTCAATTTGGCTGCAGTTTGAACCTAGATTTCCGGTTGACAGTCACGTTGTACTCGCATGATCTCGTTATTTACTAGATGTTTAAAAACAAATTAGCCTTGTTGACAAAACAAGAGCTCTCCGGTTAGACAGCTAGCAAGCTAGCCACCCACAAAGCCAGCATTGTGTTATCACACTTCCAAATAAAAACAAGTCCCACAAACTCGCAGGTATCAGAACGTCATTTTATCCTAAACACATACTTACGTGTTAGCATGTGAGCCAAAGTACTTCATTAAACAGGTAGCCAACGTTGTGTAGCGGCTAGCGCTAGCAGTTAGCCAATTAGCGGGGCGCTCCTGCTGTCAAACGACGCGAGTTAGCTAACGTGACTTAGCCGCGAACCGAGCGTGTGTGTGAAATGCCGGGGAAGTCCAGTCCAGGGGCACGAGTGCGCGACCCGCCGATATTCCACAACACACGTTACACATAAGTCCGATAGAAGCAGGTTCACGTGACGATGAGCTAACTCCTCTAACGTATTTTAACGACGCTGCACCGCTAGCTGCTGCTTGCTAAGTTCCGTAGCGTTGGCGGCTAACAGGCTGCACATCATCAGCTGTTGATGCGGAGGAGGAGGAGAAAGATTTCTGATGAAGACTCAACGTCAACACAGAGTCAAGAGACATTTATTCAAATCAAACTCTTCTCTCATACTTTCCGTGACACACGAACTTTATCCAGTCTGGGATTTGTGTTTTGTTTTGTGTGTGTCTGACATGTTGTCTTCTATTGTGAAATAAGTTTTAGGAGAAGAGAGCCTCAGAATTAAAGCGATGATAAAAGTTATGACAGTATTATTACATCAGATGAAAATGCACTGTTCATATCAAGTTGCTTGAATTACTAACACTAAGGACCGCCGTGTTTACATCAGGTGTTTCACTGCACATTTATAAGATTAAAAAATGTCAACAAATATAAGGAATTTAAGGTTGAAGTAAACCAGATACTCTGAAGTCGAATTGTCCTAAGGTCAGTGAACGCACTCCTCAGTCAGGAGATTTACAAAAAACCTCAATAGGCTGCTTTCATGAACTGTGAGAGAAATTGTGAATGATTGAGACAAGTTCTATTAGAAACTAGAAGTTTAAACGTGGTGCTATAAAATACATGCTGTCATAATTTTAAACTATGTGAATCGAGTTCAGAATAATTGTTGCCAGAACAACAAGACACAGAATATACAGAGGTTATCATGCAGATGAGGTGTTTTGAGACACATTTATTTAACACTAACATAGTAACACTAACCCAAGGTCATTCAGGTCTGTGAATCAGAAAATACAGCAGAGAGGTGGGCTGAGAGACAGCAGAGTCCAGGTCCATGTTCCAGGCTGCAGTCCATTGAACTCTGTGTTATCATGACCATAATATGATTCAACAAGTCCAGTTCAGTTTGATGTGCAAACATTCAGGCATCTGAACTACCAATCAAAGCATAGGAAATGTTGAAAGAATTAAGTGGCATCCACATTAGCAAAGAAACAGACACTGACAGAGAAAAAAGTTCTTTACATAAAGTAATGGAATAAAAGCTGAATTCCCAGATTTTAATCAGTTTAAAAATGTCTCATTGAGTTTAAAGACTGAATAAGCTCATGTGGTCTGACATAATGCTGTAATTAAAGAGCTTTAGCTCATTCAAATCAAATACTAAGGTTGTCCTCACACTGAATAGGCATTCTTACACTGTTTATTTAGACTAGTGTCCTCTAAACTACACTTCAGGTCAGGACAGGACAGAACAAAAGGTTTTCTCATGCATATGTATTTAGATGGTGTGATATAAATTGGGGCAGTCATACACTCGGCTCCGGTCCAGGGCTGTGTTGAGGGAGGTGTCACGATACGGCCCAGTCCTGCCCAGCTCTGCAGAGAATTTTTGAGATTTTGGGTGGAAAGTACACGGTGCGGTTTCAAAGGTTGGCGGGAGACGGCCGTAGTCACTGGAAGAGGTTCTGTACAGGGGGTTCTGGTGCTTTGTTCTCAGCAATGGTTTCCCTGTTGGAGTCATCATGCAGGAGAACACCGGGTTTCCAGGGCTGGCACATGTGTTTTCTACCTGCTGCTCTTGAGAGGCTGACATCTCTGCAGCACCTGTAGAAGATATCAGAATTCTTCACCAACCTCAGATACAAGATTACACAAAACACGTCTGTGAAAAAATCATGGTATCTGCACGTCTTGAGTTTCTTGGCGTTTCACCGGTCATCCAAGAGGCTTTTTTCAGTTCTATCCAACAGGTGTCCCAAAGAACTGGCTCTCCTGTGTTGGGCCAACCGGTGGTTTTGTTTCTCCAATGTAAAAGCCTGAGCTTTAATATAATGACGTTAAATACCTGGAACTTCCCACCAGTCTGGTAAAAGTGAAGAAGCCTCTTGGGTGAGGAGTTAAACGTCTTTAAGAAACTCAAGCAAGTCCAGTTGCTGACATGAACAACTGAAGACCACACAAAACTGAGGTGCAGAGGTGATTTCTCTTTTTTTACTATAAACACCTTTGAAAACAACACAAACATTAAGTGGCAGCTACATTAAAAAGCTACACCTGCTTGATAAGAATTACACATTTTTCCAATATGGATGTCTTCATTTCTTGTAAATAAAGTATCAAGTATGAAGGTAATATTAAGGTATCTAACAATTAAAATAAAACAGGGATATTTTGTTTTCTAGGTCGTGGTTAAGTTAAATGGTAGTGACCTGTTCAATGCTCAACTATGCAGCAAAGCTAATCATGGATATCTACTGAAGCTAAATCAAAATTAGCTCACTTTAGAGATTTACTGTATCACTGACTGATCACTTTCTGAATTAAATCCCACTGTCCCCTGTCTGTTAGCAGTTAAACATAGTTACCTTCAATCGCCGTAGACCAGCTTAAATATCTGTGTTGGGTCTTTATGCTAACACTAGCCACAGCCAGGGCTTAGAGACGGCCCCTGGTCACCATGGAAACATGTAAACATCAGGTTTCATTTGCAAGTTTTTTTTTTACATTTGTGAAGTAAACAGGAAATAAATGTATTGTTTTACTGTTTTACCCCAGATACACAGATTGCATCCATTTTTATGAGCCATTATTAGATCTTCTTGCTTCTTTTATTTTAAATAAGTATGACTGTTTTAGAAGTCACATTTTTGAGTAGCTTCAAACTCCAAAGCAATGCTGAGTTGTATTATTGCCCTGGATTTACAGGAAACCTCCATCGCTTCTAATATTTTATATGAATATCACTATTGTAAAACACCTTCAAAAGGCTCCATTTCATGTGAGCCATTGATTCCAAAAGAAATGCCTAATTGTATTAATATGAATATGACCTGGTGTGATGCTATCTGTCCTTGGCTTTGTCTGCGTCACCTCAAATATATAAAGCGTCCTTGTGTCCCCTGAAAGGCTCGAGTTATTAGTATTATTATAATTATTATTATGGTTATTATTCAATAACGTCTCTGTCATAAACTAACACAGCTTTTATGGGAAAGACAGAATCTCTCCTACGGCACTTGAATGCGCCACTGCTTACATCATCACCAAGCGTCAACTGGCTTACACACAACTGCCGCGTCAACTGGTTTGAAACGTGTAAAACAGTTTAACGAGATAAACTCTTTATATAAAGTCTGCGGTTTAAACTCTGTCGTTGTTCTGTGTGTTAGTCAAACAGTCAGTGAAGCTGTGAAAGCAGCGGCGGACTCTGACTCTCTTTCATCGGCATCTTCTTCCGCAGTGAGGCGGTTGTTGTAGTTAGCTTGAGGCTAAACCAGGCGGAGGGAAAGTTAGCATCTGAACTCGTGCTCAGAGGATGGACAGTGAAATCCAGAGAGACGGGAGAGTCCTGGATCTCACCGACGATGCCTGGAGGGAAGACAAGCTGCCGTATGAAGACGTCACCATCCCCCTGGTACGTGCTGCAGCGCCACATACAGAGCATAGTTAGAACTACACCTGGACCCATGTCTAGCGATCCTGACTGACTCCAGAAAAATAACAATGAATCTGATGTTGTTCATTTTTCATCCATAAATGCTAATATATCAATAAAAGACAGTTTTTTATGAAAGACTTTGAACAATATGTGAACATAATTTCCAAATCATCCAACAAAAAAGCTGTTAGAACTTTGAATATCTTTAAATCCTACAGGATATTTATATGATTTATAACACCCCTGGTTTGCATGTTTGTATGCTCCTGTTTGTTATTCTATACAACCCCATATGTACTTGTTTCTTGTTCTGTTCCTCTTGTAAAATAAAATGAATATATAAAAGCATCACGTACTGATCACTGATAGCTTTAGCAAGAAACCAACATTCACAGCTTGTTTACAGTCAGGTGCGGGGACTCGTACACATTTTTAATCGAACATTGGGGTTTTCACAAGGCACGAGATGTCATTGTTAATTCATCTTATGTGGAAGTATATCGGTGACATACTGTTTCTGTGAGCACCAAACAAACCTCACGTGTTATGGATTCGTTCTGCTGCTAGTGTGACAGTTGCTGAGCAGTGGAGGTTTAATATGATGACACGATTCTTTAACAATTTACAAATCTGATGAAGCACATATGAACCAGCCCAATTTGATCTGTTCTCAGTTGTTATGTGAGGTTCACAAACTTTTAAAACAGATAAAACAACTGTGAAGATAATCAGTAAGGGGGGGTTCTCTCCTGCTCAAACATAAAGACAAAAATAGGCTCAAAACCTTCACAACCTTTATGATTCTGGCTTCATAAGCTCCCAGTTTTTTTGTCCTGATAAAAGGGACTGAACTGAGATTATTAGAACTTGTGAGGATCATGGCATCTTATATTCCCTGTCCTCTGTCAGAGCGAGCTGCCTGAAGCTGAGCAGGACAATGGAGGATCCACAGAGTCGGTGAAAGAGCAAGAGATGAAGTGGACGGACCTCGCCTTGCAGAGCCTCCACGAAAACACACCGAGCACCGGAAGCTGAGAGACTTCCTAAAAGTTGCTGCCATTTCAACAGAAATCTCCATATCATCTCTCAACTGCAGAGACTTCAGTGCAACAGGACAAAAGATCTACAAAGTAAATGACTCAACTGTACTTTACCATAACATCATTGTGACAGCTTCCCCTGCTTGTCTCTAGAAGGAAAATGTCACATCATCCAAACTCCATATTGCCTCCGGTTTTCCTTGTATTTTAAATGTATGCTCCAGATGTCTGTTGGTGTAACTATAGCATCGGTTTCTCACCGGAAACCTCCCAGAGATGTTCTATTGAGAAACAAAAATATCCAGGCTGCTGCTTCCACCATCACTTTTTCTTTGCAGCCTCTGCCATGAGCTTGCGTACGTGGTCGTGGGACCCCTCCCCCAGCAGGGCAGAGGGATGCCTGTAGGAGCCCCCCAGACGATCCCAGAGCGTGAAGTATTGTCCATAGTTGTAGTTGAAGTAGAGGTGATGGTCCACATGGTGAGCAGCACTGTTAATCACACATATCAGAGGGCCGGGGATGCGGTAATCTCCGTCGTGTATGGAAATGGTCCAAAAATTGACAAAGACAAAGAGTGAGAGGTACACCACCTGTAATGTCAAAGTACAAAATGCCAATATAAAACATTTCAACATGACAGAGTTTAAACAGTAGTGTCCGAATTTATCTTAACAATTGTTCAACTCAGGAAAAGTGTAAGTGAGAGAAGTGACTGATAATTCTGGTTTCAAAATTTGCATTATCGTTTCTCCCTGAAACCTCAGATCTGATATCAATGTATGTAAAGTAAAGAGGGAGAGTCAGACCATCACCTTTTGCAGGGGAAAGATGAAGGCGTAGACATGGTAGGGTAAGCTCTGCAGGAAGCCATCGAGTGGGTGGAAGGCATGGCTGGCAAATGGCGTGGGGATCTTGAATACATGGTGTTGCTTATGTAAGTGCTGAGGGGCGAAAACAAAACAAAATGTTTGAAATATTATCAAATGGCAACCTGATAAATGAATTCCAACTTTTACTCTGCCTCTTGATAGGAAAATATCTGGCTCTTGTGCTGAGCATGTAATGAACATCGAGTTGGTTTTAGCCTCTTCACCTTGTAAATGCGCTTATGATGCATCCACCGGTGTATCCAGTAGATCCACATGTCGGTAAAGAACAAGAAGCCAGCAATGCTCAGGAACACTCCAGGCCAGCCTGACACAAACAAACCATGCTCACATTTAAGTCTGAGACTTATTGTTTATTATATAGGAAATGTTGGATTCAGGCTGGACTCTGTTACTCACATTACTTACGAAGTAACTTTCTTTTTAATTTAAAATCAATCAAAGTTTATATGAACCCTGGCCTGGTTTTTAAGATATAGAGTTTTCATACCCAGGGAAGATTCGCTGATGTTGTCATGAAGTTTGCTGTGTCCCCTGATCTCCCAGAAGAAAATAGCTACTGTGGGGAAGCTCATCCAGAAAATCGAGGTGACTCCCAGCTGGATTTCTTTTCTAACCTGGTTCTGTTGTTCGATCAGAGACATGAAGTAAGGATTTGAGAGAAATTTTCTTGTGAATTGTTAGACTGTTAATAAAGAGCGTCGCCGTACCTTAATAAACTGTGGATGTTTCATGAGATTGTGGTCAAACACACTGTAGAAGTTAAGAGCACCAAAGCCCAGGTAGAGCAGCTCTGCTCCCATTGTTGTCACCACCCACAGGCTGATGATCTGACGCAGAGCTTCATCCTCGGGCCACGAGGCCGGGTAAACGTACGGAGTGAGGATGTAGTGGTCAGCGATGTTCAGCACGCGATCCATGGCACAGTCTGCGGGTTAAGAGCAGTGAAAATATCAGCCTTCCTAATTGCACAACAGAAACTACTCAACAGTGCTGAGAAGAAAAACATTTACAATGATTGTGTTATTGTGATCATTTTAGCCTTTATTTTTTTAATCGAGTTGGAAAATCAATGACCACTGTCTCACCTCCGGCTGTGATTTCAGTGTAAAAACATTAAAGCTCAAAAGACTAGTTTTACCTCCAAGAATGACGCTGTGTATTAACTGTTGGCTGCAGGTTGGTCGACTGATGAAAAGACCAAAGTCCAGACATTAGTTCTCCTTTAGTCATCAAAGCATTGCTGATGCATTGATTGATTTAGTTGATGAAAGGCTCTTAATCCACATCAGACTATATTCAGTACATAAAATGTTAATTCCAAATCAGTAATCTGCTCACACAGATGCATTTATATGCATTTCAGGTCAAAGCTAAGAAAATTGGTGTTTCAGGAAATGTTCTGTTTATTTTTTAATTTTTTTTGTATTCTCTATATAAATTAATTCTCCAACGTATTAAATGTTAATTCATAATGTAATCACTTTTCATTGTAAAAAATGTAGCATAATAACAAGATAAGCTATTTAATGTGTAGTTATACTATATTAATATAGTAAAACTATATAAAATAATAATTCATATTTGCTTTTACTGAAACTATTGAAAGCAAATAGGAGCAAAACACATTGATTTTAAATAGCAACTGGATGAAAAAATCAGTAGCTTTACAAACATCGACCCTGTATTCAGAAATATTTTAAATGTTTTAATTAATCCAAAGCAGCAGTTTTATGCTCAAATTATTTTGTCTGGATTTTTAAAAGAGGTTATTGCAGCAGAACTAACCTGGACCAGGGCAGATGTCTGGTCGGTGTGAACGTTCCTAGAAAGTGGAGCAGTTTCTCTTCACACAGCACCATGTTTTGTGGCAGAAATAACATGACATATAGCTTTGCAAATTGTTCACTGCTATTATGACTTTACCATGAATTCCAATATGTTTCCCAGAAATGTAAAGAGTTAAAGGGAGGCTCCTCCTGGCTTCATTTGGTTTAGGCAGCAGGTATCCTGACAGGATCACGGGGTGACATTGACTCACATATGGGTTTGAGTTAGGGTGGAACAAGATCCCAGCATGCTCAGCAAATAACAAGGAGCTCAGTGACAGTGAGAGACTGGATCTTCCAGCCAATTCCTGCTAAATTCAGTGGAGTTACAGTGAAATTGTCTCTTTTACATGCAGATGGTTCATTTTAACCCAGGAAATTAAATTTGGTTCATCACAATAAGAATGAATCTCCAGTTTAATGTCTTTCTAAAAACAAATAGGCGCATTCATAAATGGAATTAGTGTCATTAAACCATGAACTGCATTTTGAACTGCAAAATAGAATCATTAGCAGGAGAAAGCTTGTCATATTTTGCAGTGCATGTACCCTCTAGTTGGCTGCAGGATCAAATTCACCCTGAACAGTCTGTCCTTTAAACACACACACACACACGCGCGGTATCTCACAGACAGCGGCATGCAGCCCGTCACTCAGTGAGAGGTGGGCAATGTGACGTTTTATTGTCCAAGTAAAGAGGACGACCTGCACAAAAAACCCTGAACAGGATATTTTCACACAAGCAGCTTCTTCTTCCACTCTATTTTGGTCAGAATTAATGTATTGAAAGGTTAATGTTTTGTTCAGGAGTCTGTCCCAGTTGAAACGTGTTTCTCTTGACCTGAACTCGACCTGTGTAATGAGAGTAAATTCAGTGACGAATGCATGTTTTCAATGTAACTAAATGGTTCAAATCCATGAACATAAATGTTCATAAAACGCTCCTGCAAAGATACGACTCTCTCTTTATGACTGCTCTATATTCTTTACACATAAACAAGTAGCTGTCTCCCTCTAGAGCTCTCTGACACTAACTGCACCTCTCTGTGCCGTGAGCAGAACCATCCCGCTGCACTTTGCACACTTTTCATGGTTGTCACTCTGAATATTACAGAATAACACAGGGAATCATCGCAGTCATATATGGTTGTTGAAAAGCTGAATAAATAACACTTATTTAAGTGTATTAAACAACCAGTGGACAAGAACTCAAACTCAAACTAAGTCTCGAGAGACTAAATGAGGAATCAGTGTGTTTATGTTTGGCAGTACTTTCGTGACACAGTCAAAAAATTGTTCACAGAATTCATTATTATCACCACACATGATCAAATACCTGATGATTGTGAAAATCAGAAACAGAGAGCTACAGAGAGAAAGTCCATGTTTTAGCTTAAATGTTAAAAACTGCTAACATCCCTTTTTTCCTAATGTTCCTAAAGTTTTTTGTATATCCTGAACTCTTGTGTTTAATCACGTGCTGTTCTTCCACTTTAACATCCTCACTTTCATTCTCTCCAAGCATCACACACACTAAGGTACTGAAAACAGATTTTTATATGGTTGAACAATGAAATGAAGTGAAAGCCTTTCTCATTGTCCAAAATAATAACAATTAGTTACGATATAACACAGACACAAACATTAAATCTAACAATAAATGATTTAAAAAAAATAGAATATACAATTTTCTAGTGATTGCATTTAAGATTACTTTGAATAGGAAGCATGTTACAAAGAGTTGGGAGTTTTACATGTGTGTCCTTGATACCTGCTTGAATTCTAAATTTGAATCTAAACTGCCCTGTTCAAAATAAAGTACTTTGAAGAACAAGACAACAACAATGTGTATGGACCTGGTTCCAAAGTTGTTATCAGACCTACTCAATAAGAAATTCACATAAAGATGATCTGATCTAAATATGTTTCCAGAATATTCTCTTGTAGTTCACACGTCCCTGTGTTGTTTGCACTGGTCACAGTGAGTCGTGACTCAGCAGCTTTGTTGTGACATGTTGGTGAAAAGTTTAAAAAAGTTTCCAAACAGCGAGCGCAAAAACAGGGGACAACGTTGCCTTCAAGAGCCCAACACCAGCTCCGACATCCGAGAACTGGGAATGTAAACAGTCTTACAGCAGAGGAAGTGTGTGTTAGCTCGGATAGAAAATATCATAGAAATATAAAATATTTCATGTGACGGGACATGATGTTTGTCTTTTTGATGAAGCGCTAATTATCTCCAAAGCAACATGAAGTCAACACAGCCACATAGCCTGGTCATTTTCAAAATAAGACGGCAGTAATGCTTTATAAACTGACATACAAATATCTTGTTTAACTAAATGAGAGTTCTTATGGTTTCTGTTGCATCACGCATAAAAAAATCTGTCATTGTTTTCTGCTCTGGAGTTAAGTTACATTTTTTCCTACTGTACACAGTCCGTGAAGGCATCATATTGTTAGTAGAGTAGGGCCGTGTGCACAGCTGTGCGCGCCAGAGCGAAACGATGGCAACAGGTCTGTTAGTGCCGTGTGCACACGCCTGAAAACACTGATTCACACGTGAACGAGAAATAATGAAAGTGCTTAAAATACTGTCTGAGTAAAATAATGAAGGTTTTTACTGAAGCTGGATTTAAATCAAAATCAAATCAGACTTTATTGTAATTATACACATTGTCCCTGAGTCTCATCTGTTGTTAGTGCACTGGTCGAATCTTAGAACAGAATATTTTATTTTATTATTTGATGCGATGAAAAATAAGGGTTTATTTACTCAGCCCCCGTAAACTATTGAATACAAATAAACTGTAAATTAATATACACAAGCGTATTTTTTTCATGTTTTATAGATTGAAGCAATACAAAATAATTGTCAAGATATATTTACTCAACAGTGTGTGACTAATTAATAATAGTAAACATAATATAATATAGACAAACTTCTATGTTATATAGTCTGAAGCAAGAGTCCCGGAAATACAGCTAAACCTTAGAATAATAGTAGTGAATTAAATTAAACTAAATCATTTTAAAAATATATATAATGCACGTGAGTAATGAAATCCACACATATACTACGCCATCACGGTGTATACGAGATATTTGATGATTTGAGCACACACTGTAAACTTCTACATGGATTCAAATAAAAACAAGCGTGGAATTAATTTAATTTGAAGTCAGTGTGTTCCCACGTGGCAGCCTTTCATCAGCATGGAAATTTCCTTTCATGAATCCGTGCGCAAAAATCAAACGAGTGCAAAACAGCTTCTTTATATTATTTATACTAAACACTCATGTATTCAAATATATCCTTGCTCTTTATATACATGGAAATAAAAACATGTTGTTATGATGAACTGTGATCTAAACATTCCACTTTATATAATGATGTAAACACGTTAATTATTCCGGAGGCAGAGGAGGGGGGGTCCGGGGATCTTATGTAATTTTCAGACGACACTTCACCTCGTGTGAATCTGGGAATCTCTCTCTCTCTCCCCCCACTCCTCCTGCTGCTGCTCGTGCGCACACATTTCATTGTGGTCGCACACGTACGTACCCACGTGCGACGTGACACACACGTTTGCACTCGGCCCTGTTGTTCCGGGGCTGCTATAAATGGAGCCGCCCCTGAAGTGCGTGATCACAACACTGAGACTCAACCAGAGATTCACCTGCTCCACTGAGGAAGATCCAGAAAAACCCTGAGAGACATGGACCCCTGCGACTGCTCCAAGAGTCAGTATCTGTCTTTATTATAGAACCCCTGTTTTTAAGATATCTTCTGTTTTTCCATCTTCTGTCATTGCCGGATAACATGAAGCTAATCCCTTGTGTCACGTTCCCTCTATTTATAGGTGGAACCTGCAACTGCGGAGGATCTTGCACCTGCAAGAACTGCACCTGCACCACCTGCAACAAGAGTAAGTCCTCACATCCATCACATATCAATGTGAATCTTAACACTGGTGCTTTAATCTTAACCTAGTCTGAGCTTTTTCTTTAACCCTATCAGCAAATTGTCTATTTATAGTATCATATCTAAAATTCAGCACCACATGTGTGTTGAATTTGTAGTGTCACCTGCCCAGGTGACTGTGATTGTCTTAATCAGCCACAATTCAAAGGTGTAAATTGTTTCTCTCTCCACCACATTTACAACCTTTGCATAAGAGAAGACAAGATGTTCTTATTTTTATGTAGTTAGATGTGGTGTTTGCATTTTTTTTTTTAAATTTTTCTCCTCCTCTAAAAGCCTGAAGATGAGATGACTGCTGATGTGTCACTAATGCAGTTTTGACCTTGCATTGCAGGCTGCTGCCCATGCTGCCCATCCGGCTGCACCAAGTGCGCCTCTGGCTGCGTGTGCAAAGGGAAGACATGCGACACCAGCTGCTGTCAGTGAGAGGAGCCTGATGCGCTGTGGAGCCTATGTGCTCGTAACTGATTTAACTGTAGCTGCAAATGTCTAGAATGAGAAAAATGGCTTTTGTACTTGTCTTTCAATATTAAAATCAACATGTTTCCTCAATGCAGTTGTCCTGAGTTTTGGGTGTCAAGTGAATGTGTTGTTGCAAATATGATTATTAAAATGAGCTGTGCTGCAGTGTAAATCTCCTAACCAAGGTCAGACATGTATACAGCTGAGGGTCAAGGCTGCTTTGTTTGCTCCAGATTTTAACTTAAGGGAAACATTATGTGGCTAAGCTAAGGCTTTCAATACTAATTATTGAATTTAAACATTGCATGTTCTAAACACCTTGATATAATTACCACAAGTGTGCAGCAGTCACTGGACCTGTGTGGACCAATTGTGATTTGAAGTGGCAGAAAAAAACATTTGTAGATCCTTCAGAACAATGTGCTCTGGTCTTAAAAAAACAAAAACACTTGAGTTGAGGTCTGGGTTCTGATTAGACCACTCCAGTCATTGTAGACTTACTGAGGGTCCTTGACCTTCTGCATCCACTGATAAGCTGGTCCTCAGACACCCTGACACTAGCTTGTCATCAGTTTCTCTGTAAATTGTGAGCAGTTCAGGCCCGGGGGATGCAAAAGCATGATGCTCTCCACACAAGGAGTGATGTTTGTGCAGGGCTGGTTGTATGCATGTTCTTGGTTTAACAGTTTATAAGACATTTTCAATGTGTTTAGGAAGGTCGAGATGTTTTGATAGCAATTACTTCCACTTTGCAATTTTCTCTTGAAGCCTGGACTGGTGAATGTCTAAATTCTTTGAGGTGACTTGATGCAAAAATCTATTAAAAATCTACCTGAAAACACAGCATGAAATGGTAAAGGTGTCCCAAACTAAAATAAAAGAAGTTTATTAGGTTATTTTAATTAATTTTGCAGCTTTTAGATAAATCTTCACAAGAGCGACTGCAAGGTGGAACCTTCACATCAGGCGGAAGCAAAGGGAACATTGTCGGAGCAGCGGAAGTGACGGACACAGGAAGCGTTGCTTCGGTGTTCGGGTCTGTTTGTTGAAGGTAAATCGTGTTTTCGTCGTCATGGCGTCTCAGTAGCAGCGTTTAACTCAACAATACGCGTTTAAAACGAAATCAAAATGCCGAAGGTCGTGTCCAGAAGCGTCGTGTGCTCGGACACCAGAGACCGAGAGGAGTACGATGACGGAGAGAAGCCGCTCCATGTCTACTACTGCCTGTGTGGACAGATGGTCCTGGTGCTGGACTGTCAGCTGGAGAAGCTTCCCATGAGGCCCTGGGACCGAGCCCGGGTGATCGACGCGGCCAAACATGCCCACAAGTTCTGCAACGTGGAGGTGGACGAGACCGCGTACGTCAAGAGGGCCGAGGGCATCGAGAGGCAGCGCCGCAAGAAGTGCGGCAAGTGCGGCCTGTTGCTCTTCTACCAGCACCAGGAGAAGAACAGCCCGGCCACCTTCATCGTGGACGGGGCCGTGGTGAAGTTTGGGCAGGGCTTCGGCAACACCAGCGTGTACAGCCAGAAGCAGCCCGAGGCGCCCAAGAAGGTCCGCGTCATGATGACCAAGCGGACCAAAGACATGGGCAAGTTCAGCTCCGTCACCGTGTCCACCATCGACGAGGAGGAGGAGGAGATCGAGGCCCGGGAGGTGGCCGACTCGTACGCCCAGAACGCCAAGGTGATCGAGAAGCAGCTGGAGAGGAAGGGCATGAGCAAGAGGAGGCTGCAGGAGCTGGCTGAGCTGGAGGCCAAGAAGGCGAAGATGAAGGGGACACTCATCGATAATCAGTTCAAGTAGATGAGTCTCACTGAGGGAGGGACACACACACACACACACACAGTGACTGTTTACCTGTTTCCATCACACACACTGAAGCACAGTGGATCCTGCAGCTTCGACCTGATCTGTTCAGTTGGTCTGGAGAACAGCACCTTTTATTATCTGGACACATAGAAACAGGATTGATAAAGAGGCTGTTGCATGTTGAGATTTCGATCTTGGAAAGAAGTTGTAGGCATTACTTTATTTTTTTTTTTAAATGTTATTTTGTACAAAAATGTAAGATCAAATAAACCTGTTGGCATAGTATTTGAAGGCATTTTCTCTTGGTGTTACATGAGCCAAAGTCTAGAAAAACAAACGGGCTCTTTGAACTTATGACTTCCTGACCACTGATGATAAAATTCAGTTTAATTTTGCGTAAAGGTCATAAATGTGTATTTGTGCACATATAACAAAGTTCATTTGTATTTAAACCTACAAGAGCTGAAGTGATTGTTTTAAAAAGTTTTAAACTGGCTGTCTGTGGGTGTTGGGCCTTGGAACAAAGCAAGTCATTGGAAGATCTTGCTTAAGGAATCTGACATATTACACTAAAGCATGCTTAGAGGGCTCATACCACAGCCAAGGATGATGGTCTATCTTGTCAAGTAAGAGGAGAAAAGATCTTGGAATTGAGCAATGATCCGGATCCACTCTGAAATGTTATGTGTTTCCTCCCTGGTTCATGATGCACCCCTCCTAGATTAATCAGCGATGGAAACATATTTATCGGCATTTAAAAAAAAGGATTTCAAAGCCTTAATCCATACATCCACTGGTAATTAAGAATATGAATTCAGTTTCAAAAATATAAATTGTATGTTATCATTTGGTTTATTAGATGTAATGTTTAAACTTGTTTGAATAAGACAGACATTTGAGACAGTCTGTATCAGACACTATTTCATTAGAAGATGAGTAAACTACCAGGTCAGACACAGAATGTGGGTCACAAAAACCCAGGACACATATTAGGAGAACAATGTGTCTTTGTAGACTGGATAATAACTTGGCCACAGTTTAGAGCACATTAAAAATATTAAGGGCTGCAGACTCTGTCCCATGGTGAAGAACAAAACTTTACAACTTTAAATTTAAACATCTTAAAAAAAGGCAACTGTAAAAGGTTTACAATAATTTTATTGCATGAAAAAATAGACAATTGTCCAAAATGTCTAAATAATTGAGAGTTAATTCAGAACAAAATATACAGTATGTAGAATTTCAAACAAATTAATACACATGTAAAGGTTTTTAGAGAAAAAGTCCCTGTGGAACTAAATATATAACAATAGAATAATGCAATAAGGGAGAATATTATTTCCATCTGTGCATGTCCTCCTGCGACATACACAAATATATTCTTAGTATTTTTTTCTTTTGGAGCACATGTCTCATATTTTCTGCTATACAAAGGCACATGAGTACAATTTGCTCATCACAAGATAAACTTATGATCACAGGGACCCCAGACCCTGGAGACTCAGCCATGTGTAGGTGAAGGAGTCACAGAAGCACAATTGTGATGAGCTCTCTGTCGCATACCAGAGAAAACACTTACATGTACATATGTGCTATTATATAAGAAGAAGCTCTGGGGTTTTTAACTCCACATGACCACTTCTGTCCTGACAAAGCAACAGACTGTCGCATGGAAGCTGTTATTGGCCATCTGGGCTTTTTATTGTCAGTGAGAGGTTTTACAAAAGATAATTACAAACGTTTCACTCTGCACCTGTTTTTTTACAATTATACATCACAACAAAACCAGTTGTATATTTTGTAGGTACCAACAACCAAACTGACAGGAATAGTAGAATCAAGTAATGCAGCTATCTATCATGTAAAATCCCCCATACACAGGTACATTTGTGAGGTTTTTTATAGATAAAAATATGTCAGTGTTTTGTATATTTATTTCTTACATTGGTGAGAATGGCCCTGTCTCCATGTGCATGTGTGTGTGCAGAGAGTCTATCCAGCCATCATGCTGACACCAATTTCTTTTGCTACCCTTCGAGAAACAGGATGTGGTGGTGGTGTATTTTTCATCCAACACAACATTAAAACTCGTAACTGGTATTAATGTTGTTGCTAAATCCTCAGCAAAGTGATTAGGATCTTGTTTTTTAGCTTCAATTATCTTCCTTGGCTTAACAGCTCGACTGATCAGTCACCAAATTAAAAACAGATAACCGGTGTAAAACTCCATTCTCATGAGAGAAGAACAAACAGCAAGAGAGGGGAACAAACATTTTAATCTTCATATGTCCCAGTGTGCAACCCAGTGTTTAACAGAGATATAGCCTGACTATTCATTTACTAACATTGCACTAAACCCTCTTGTACACTCCCTAAGTAGCCTGCACTTCATAAAACTGTTTTTCAAATGACCTAGTTAAAGTCAAAAGAGTTATGCAGTGTTGCTTCACAATCTGACCATGAACTTTTTAATGGGTAAACAGTGGAGTTATGGATAATCAACAGAAAGAAAAGAAGATAACAAATCGAACGAATCAACGATCATGATCATAATGGCAGATCCTGTATCGTGCTGGCATCCGATCGTAGTGGTGGACCATGATCGAGGTGGCAGCTGATTGTGCATCCTGATCGTGGCGGCTGCTGACTGTGGACTATGATTACAAGACTTGATGTAACATATGTCTACTCAGACACTCTGCCATTATTGACAATAATTCCTCAATTCATTTACCTTCCATCATGCTACAAACTGTTTACTTTAACCAATGCTGTAAATACCCTCCATTACACGTGGCATCTATTGCACTTCTGTCCATCCTGGGTGAGGAATTCCCTCACACGTGGCTCTCTCTGAGGTTTTTTACATTCTTTTTCCCCTGTTAAAAAGTTTTTAGTAGTTTTTCCTCACTCTTGTTGAGGGTTAAGGACAGAGGATGTCAAACCTTGTTAAAGCCGTATGAAACAAATTGTGATTTGTGCTATACAAATAAAATTTGATTGAATTTGATTGACTGATAACTACTTTGCCATTTAGGACAGTGTTTAAAGATGGTTATGAGTGTGTGTGTGAAAGAATGCATATCTCAATATAACAAAAACATGATCGAGGAATGTTTCTGCTGTGGACATTTAGCATTAATTCTTATCATCAAGTTGCAGTCATTTAAAAGTGGTAGCCAATCATAATTTTCTTATTAAAATAAATGCACCACGTCACCTCTGTAAAACCTAATTTAATATTAACTGATAAATAAGATAAGAGTTTTGGAATTTAAGAATAAATAATCAAAATGCTTTGTCCTGGTGTTTAAGTAAACTGAACCCTGTCGCTGATGCTAAGAGAACACCACTGATGATTTGTCCCTGACATCTGCTGGTGGTTGGTAACTTTTAATCAAACTAGTTCAGAAGACTTTCAAACTTACAATTTCACCATCCTGTCCTATGTCCTAAAATGATTTCTACCTACAGAAAGAGATTGCTATTGTTTTGTGTTGTTACTGCTGCCAAGGAGGTTATGTCTATCAATCATGTCTATTTGTTGGTTTATTTGTCAGCAGGATTATGCAAAAACTACTAAACTGATTTCCAGTGGAGTAAGGAGTGGATCGAGGATTTTTTCACTTACATCAACCAGTATGGTGGTGGATCCTGATCCTGGTGGTGGATCCTGATTGTGGACTATGATAACGAAGACTGCCTGACCGACAAAATATGTCTACCAACATATTCTACCATTACTGACAATAACTCCTCAATTCATTTGTCATCAGACATTTTCTTATGTATAAATACTTTGAACATTGACACACTTATGTTACAAACTGTTTCTTCGAATCATTGTTGTACATTTTGTAATTTTGCTGATGTTCTCAATTACACACAACATCTATTGCACTTCTGTCCGTCCGGGGAGAGGGATCCCCCACATGTGACTCTCTCTGAGGTTTCAACGTTTTCCCCCCTGTAAGTAGGATTTTTCATTTGTTCGATTTTCCTTACCTTTGTTGAGGGTTAAGTCGCACTGAATGTTGCACCTTGTTAAGCCCTGTGAGACAAATTGTGATTAGTGAATACGGGCTATACAAATAAAATATGATTTGATTACATTTAGGTAATTTAGGTTATCAGACTACCGATTTTACTATAAGAACCAGACAATCATAAATAGGATTTTTTAAGCCTTTGGTGGGCGCATGTGTACAACTTTACCACACTAGTTTCAAAAGGGTTTCCCCTTTCCTGTTACAAACACTATTTTATTCAGCGTAATGGCATCATTATACATGGCATCCAAAGAAAAATGATTTCTGCTTTTCCTTTTTTTTTTGCGCAAACACACAAACTAAAACATAAAAAACTCTGTCAGGGATAACGACTATTTGCCAGATGCTATAAGTCCTCCTGTCCTGCAGGGGAAGCAGCGGCCTTTTGTCAAATCCTGAGAATAAGTGTGATTTCCGGTACGGAGGCAGCGCTCGTCCAATCAGCGTCGACTCCTTCAGTGCCGGCAAATCATATTCCTTGATCCATGTTGTGTTTCTGGACTAAACCGAAATAAGAAGGAACAACTGTGAACACGTTTCCCTGAGAAACACAAACAGGATCATTTCCACATCTGTCCCATACAGCAGGTACGAGGTTTGTCTGTTTCCGGTGTTTTGTGACATATTACAACTTGATTCCACTGCGAGCATGTGAGACAGCGTTAGCCAATTAGCCTTCTGAGCTAACTCTGGTGCGCCATTCATTTTAGCATGAAGCTAAATAAAGAAGTGACCTAACAAAGCTGGGGAGGGACAGAAAGTGAGGTCGTTGTCACATTTGTTTCTGATTTACTCCTCTGATCAACCGCAGTCACCTTCCAGCCTCGTACTGTTGTCAGGAGGGAGGCGAGTGTCGACCCAAGCTAGCCAATGTGTTAGTATCATGCTAACGCTAAGCTACTCTGACAGCCAGGGAGCTCCACGCGCGGGCTGCAGTGTGCCAGTGTGTTTACATCAGCTGTTCTGGTACATGTGTGTCAGCTGTCCCTCAACTAACATGTGTTATTAACAGTTTGTTTGACATGTGCTCCAAACATGGTACTTTTACTTTGAAGGGTTCATGGTGTGTCCATCATTTGACAGCTGAATGAGGGGTGGAGGTTGTAAACTTAATTTAGCTTGACTGAGATTAAGTTTTCATACATGATGTTTTGGATTTTAGTCTCGTATCTTTCAGTCAGTGGGAGAGTCATTAGAAACAAAATCCCGCTCTCTTCATGTGGGACTAAATAAAACTCAACTGGGACTTCAGTTGTTACAGCAGCAGGCAGGTCAGAATGAGGTAGACTATTCAAATCTAATTAGTGTGTACATTATTTACACCTTTCACTGTAGTGGTTTATATAGAAATGTTATGAAATAAAGTTCATTGGCACAGGATGATTGCACAAGCAAGTAGAAAAAACGTTTGTACATATATATATATAAGGACATATTGTGATGTGCAGATGACACGACATGGTGATCCTCTGACCTGCACTGCTGCTATCTGCCTTGTTTATGGGGGTTTCTACTTTCAACCTTCATTACTCTTCAGTAGATGAAATGCACTGAGGGCAGGTGACATTTTTACTGCTCACCATCAATGATTTTTGTAAGGGTTGTATTTCTTGGGGACCTTGTGCAGAAAATAATGTGTCTGTAAAATGTTTTATTCATCCTGATGCTTGATCTTTCTGCAAGTATTCTCCTGACATTTACCACACTAGTGTTTTGTGTTCAAACTTGCTGACAGATGATATCATTGTAAATTCAGTTCATTAACCTTTTTGTAAATAAGATAACCACATGGTAACACCTGTTTTTGGCTAAATCAGGGAAGTCAATATCTTGCATATCTTGATGCTCAGTAGTCATCATATTTAAGTAAAATCCTGGGAATCCAATAAAAGTTATTCCCGTTGATATGACACATTGCCTTTGTTGGCCTAATTTAACCAGAAGTATTGAAGACAGACTTTGTTGCCTCATAGTCTTTACAGTCTGGCTTTATCTCAGATTTGTTTATTGTGATTTTTGATTAATCCTGGTGAAATCAACTCTGACCTTTTTCAAAATGGCTTCTGTAAAGTTTGGGCTAGTATCCATAGAATGAATAAGGAGGATGAATAAAGACTGCCATCGAATTGAAGCTGACAGTTGATGTTTTCATTGTTTTATGTTGAATCTAATGTTGTACAGTACATAGACGTCACTCTTTACTATATATTCCATTCATATTTTGATGTAGTGCAAATTTACTGTTGTTGTATTCACTAGTTTTGACAGTCTTCTTCTCTGTGTGTATAGAGGTATGGATGCAGAGGGCTTCGGGGATCTGCTCCAGCAGGCAGAGCAGCTGGCTGCAGAGACAGAAGCAGTGTCAGAGCTGCCTCATGTTGAGAGGAACCTCCAGGAGATCCAGCAGGCAGGGGAGAGGCTCCGATCTCGCACGCTGACCCGCACCTCACAAGATGCCGCCGACGTGAAAGCGTAAGAAAAACATCCCATTTTCATGTGATTACACCAGATAAATACTTGTATTTACCAGTGTTGGATGAATAAAGTCTATCTTATCTTATTTTATGCAGAGCTTCTCAGAATCAAGCTTGGAAGTGTAAATTTCTGTCACATTTCACAAGATGAACAAGACTGTTTCTTGACTATAAAATGGTGTTAAGTGCATATTATAGACTCAATTGCAACATTCCTAGTTATAGAATGGACCAAGGTATTATTCTCCTTGGTCAGGTGTCAGCATTTACTTAAATAATTGTATAGATCCTCTGTGATATGCCATTTTAATATTCTGTCTAAGGACTTCTTGTTTTCGGACATATGTTAAAGGAAGTAATATTAAATTAAGTTTAGCCCATTCAATAAATTAGAAATAACATTTATTCATAGTTTGTTTGGATTTCCTTATAAATGTCTGAACTCAAATCTTGTGTAATTTCTATGTAGCCGACATGACTTGTCCAGTGGATAGTTCTGTAATTGTAGCAGATCCTCTTATGCCCTCTAGTGTTTGTCAAATACAACTACAGTTGTTTGTAAGTCTTTCACTCAATGACACTCATTCACTCTCTCCACCTCTCTGACTCCCTCTCAGGTCGATCCTCCTCGGCTCCAGAGGTTTAGATATCTTTCACATCTCTCAGAGGTTGGAAAGTTTAAGTGCTGCCACAACCTTTGAGCCCCTGGAGCCTGTCAAGGACACTGACATACAGGTATGAATGACAGAACAGGCCATGAGCAGAGCTAACTGCTAGCTTTGTAGTCTTATAATAGTGAGAATTTGCTTTTTGTGTTTAACGGAAAAGATATAGTCCACTTTATGAATGATAAGAGAATGAGACCTCTTTCTATCGAAGCCATCTTTGGCTAAGCATATTTGATTGAAACGCTGGCTCACAGAGAGCACATTAACAAGATTAGATAGTCTGCAGCAGAGACAGTCAACAAAGATTCTGAGTTTATGTCTGAAGGATGAAAGGAAAAGTTACAAAATGATCAGTGGATAAGTCAACTGACATGTCTGTGTTTTATGAGGATGGAACTATGACACTGGATAATAGTTGGCAGGTGGAAAGTTTAAGTTTTGTTTCGTCAACAGACACTTAATTTCTCTGACTTGATTTCAGTGAGATTGTTTGGTGTAGGAATATGGTCTGATCATGGATTGAGATTGATCAGCACCTGGTTGAGATAATTGTAGGAGAAAAAATGACATTTGCTTTGAACACATTTTGGTTTCTTTACTTTACTCTAGAAACTGAACCAGATATTGATTAAGATCAGGAATCAATAAGTGCATTTGCAAAAAGACACACACACACACAC